CGCCCATCTAGAATGACTCAACCCACACACCCCATGAAGGCCGAATTCAGCTCCTACCCCCTGCATCGGGTGTCAACCCATTCGTTCATTTTGGGGTGGTTGCTGGAGGTAACAAAGATGGTTGCCCCTCCCTCCCTCACCAAGCCAGGCTGCAGCCGAGGCGATTGTAGCACAGAGCTTACAAATAACAATTAAGATACCATCATCGACTATAATATACCATAATATATTACAATATATTATAATCTACTATAGTATATCATAATATACTCCCTGTAGATGCCATGCATTGAATGCGCATGGGAAGAGGACATCCACCCAGATTGTGACGTACATGGCGAAATCCATGTCTCAGACAATGCAAAAGTTGCTTAGGGGCTAGCCACGCAACAAACGCAAGAAACACAAACTCTTCTCACGTAAATCCCGAGTGCCTGGGTTGGCCCCTAAAGCCCTTTTACAAATATTAGTATATAGGGTCCCCTATTAAAGCCATTAGGGAAAATACTAAATATCCCAGGGGTCTACCCAGGTGCTAGGGTAAAGGGATGGACCATCCCGCCAGGTCTTCCGATGACACGGCTTTTGTCCGTCGCTTGGGCTGACAGGCCGGCCCTTGCCAGGCTGCCAGATCTTCCGAGGACACTGGGACAGTACGTCTCCTAGAAGCTTGTGGGTTTAGGATGGTTTGATTGAGGCTTAATGATTGAAGGCTGAGAATTTCAGCATATTTCAGAGTTTAGGGCTTAAGATGGTTTAAAGGTATAGGGTTTTAAGCTTTAAGGGATCATTTCCCTTGAGGGTTTAAGGGTTAGGAATTCAGTGGTTGCGGGCACGGATTGGAGGCCTTCCCAGAAAAGAGAAGTCCATGTTCTTGCAACATAGAAGAAAAGGTGTTTGGGGAATTCAAACGCTTGGGCTGTTTCAATCCAACCCCAGTTATACTCCAACCCAGAATATGCGGATAACATAGGGTTTCTCAGAAAGTGTATGCACCTCGGAAATGCCAGTACTTTCAACACATGCCCCCTTTTTGCACTGTGAAGGATATGTAGCTCTTACTAAACAGCGAGTAAGTCAGTAGACCATTTTGAGAAACGACCGTGTTGGGAGTTCTCAGTATCAGCGGAGAATTTCACGGAATACACTTGGATGGTGGAGGTCCCCTTAGAGATTCTACAGGGATTACGCGAGAAACCCCAGAATAGCTCAATCTCCTCCCAGGCTTTCGGCAGGCAGGCGCGCAGGGAGGTCCTGGGCTGCGCTTTCAACGCAGGTCTGGGCTTCTCAACATGGAGGGGGATGCCAGAAAGGTTCCAGTAGCAACTCTTCTTATTGAAGGTGTAGGGCAGAGGCTTATGGATACGTCTGAGGACTTAAACGGGTGTGTGTTGAATTCCTTCTTAACAAGTCAAAACAGTTCTTCTCTCCGATGCCCAGGTGCCCATGACCTGCCCCGGAGCTATACCCAAAAGCTTCGCAGCCTCAACCTCGTTGGCAACATTTCTTCGAGAGAACTTGTGTCCTGCAGCTGCCATCTTGGTCGGCACCTCCTGGACAGGTCTGCAACAGCCCCCTGTGTTTGGAACGCCTACAAAACCAAACAGCTTCAGGACACCATGTGGGGTCCCACAGGCACGAACAAGGACTGCCTCCTCCTGGACAGCCGCACTGGCTCCGCACCCCATGGCGCAAAAGGCAGAGTCAGCAGGGCGAGTGCTGTTGTCTGTTTAGGCCCTTCAAATCAGGATTTTATGGTGCTCTTGAAGAGGATTCAGTTTCAAGGCTAGGGCATCACAAGCTTTGCCGTAGAAGGTTTCTAAAAATGTTATAGACTCTAACGTGGTGGTCTCATTCTGACTCCCATTGCATGACATTGTGATGCCCCTTGCACCCGCCGGCGGTGCATTCTGGCTGAAGATGGCACCGCAGGACCAAAGCCAAGCATATGGATATTTTTCAGAATCAAGGGGCTCTCCGGAGTATAAATTACAGCACGCTACAAGGTTTGCTAGAATACACAAGTGAGGCCCTCTTCTCCTCACTTCCATCCAAAAACACCCTGAAAAATATTACAAGACAATCCTCACAAACCCCATTCCCTAGCCCCCATGGTCGGCCCAGGCTTCGGAAGGTGATGAAGTCCTCGCTGCTACGGACCACGCGCAGCCTGAGGCTTGCATGGGCAAAGCAGAAGACCAGCAATTCGAAAAGCAAAAGCTTGAAGTATATGGCTTAGGCTTGGGGTTGTAAGTTCAAAGTTTCGGGTTGCAGGGTCCAGCGGATAGATTTGAAAACCCGCAACTACCTAGAGCCACTCGCAGCCCTTACGACTAAGCCCACTTCACCACATTGCACGCGTAGTCAGCATGAGCGTCGGGCTACCAGCACTTTGCTTGCCCTCCTGTCTCCTATCACCTTCGCGCATGCGCAGACAAGAATTTCATACAGCACTTGCTTTTACGATAGGGTCGCAGGCTTTCATCACCCATGTGGGGCAGGGATGTATCCAGTTCTTGGGGCTAGCTACCTTGCAGAATCCTTCTGTTCAAACGATAAAAGGAAACCCAAAGTTTCAGAACTTTATCTGTAGCTCTGTGTTAGGGCTTCAGGATTGAAGGCTCTTGGATGCAGAGTTAAGAGCAGAGCTTGAATGTCCAGCATTTTGGGTCGCTTCGGCTTCAAGTTGCTGATCCATGGCTTTCGTAATCTCGGGAACGTGGAGACAGGCCTTAGGATCAAAACAGCTTGACCCGTGAAGGGCAAACGATTCTGCTTGCAACGCATAAACATCGTTTTCGCCCCTGGAGGCTGTGGTTCTTGAGGAACGCAGAAGTAGGCACAATCGGCTAGGACCCCATACGAGGACCATGATTGTAAGAAACCGATCTGTTTAAAGGTCCAGCAGCGACAACGGCAATTGTGGCCCGCAAGCGTCAACGTGCGCCTGACGAACGTTGGCCAAGGTTCAGGCAGACACAAAGGAAATCAAAGATTTGGCAGGTACATTCTTGCAGGCGTTTCGGAAGATCCACAAAAAACAGCGAGGCTAAAAGTGAAAGGCTTTCGGCTTTACCACTTACATGGCTCGGGGCAGCGTAAGTCAATGCTTCGGGGTTAGGCTTGGGCATCGGGGGATGTAGTCCCCTTGGCGAACTTCTCACGGAAAGAGGTCTGCGAACGCCTTTGGGTTTCGGCTCTCTGTTTGGGATCTCTAGATTACACTTCAGGGTGTCATACAGAGATCAGAAGAAGGGCATCAATGGCGTTCTAGTTGTTTCTTTATCATCTAACCTGCGCGACCCAGCGTATGTGAATTGCAAAAGGTTGTTTGCAGTAGCTCTCTTGCAGATTCCAGCCTCCAGTACCGGCAGGAAAAGGGAGAGACGAAAGTAGCCTGTGCTGGGGGACAGGGGGTATCGGCTTAATGATTTGATGGGCGGAAGTTTGACACACTCGCATATGATGTGCGGCCAGGGTAAGGATGTGAGACGTGCGATTTCGCCCATGGATGATGCAAAATTGAATCTTGCAGGGAGGCTTGAAGTGGATCTGCACTTGGGTGCTGTCATCCGATCCTATAGTACAAGACCCCTTACTCCATAGTTGGCGCCCAGGCACTGCTGCGGAAAAACAACACCTGGCGACGGAGGGCTTTGCCGCGCGAGGCGCTGTGCAGCGCGGGAGATCTCTGCCTGGGCTTTGAAGCATTGAGACGGGCTAGTGTAATCCACATCGGCAGCCGAAGGGACTACAGCTTCAACTCTCTGCCTAAGAGTTTAGATGACTTTAGTGTTTGCCTACCGATCTTTTGAGGACTTCACTGGGGCGGGTCCTGAGGGCCGGGCTGGTAAAAGCCCAGGCCAAAAGGTTGTGCGGTGATATCTGGACCCTGACTGTCCCGCCTTCTGTTGATGTCCTATATCATTCAAAATTTAAGCATCGCGTGTCGAAATTGGTAGACCATCACAGGTATGGCTATGATTTGGGTGCGTCTGGCCCTGGCCCTTACGTGTGAAGCCGAACCGTCTTTATACACCCCTGAACTTCTTAGATTTTCAGCTTGTCGGGGAAGCCCCAACACAGAACCCGCCATTTTGAGAAGACCCCCAACCTGACAAGGAATCGCCGCTTTGGGATTCCTTACCAGGAACCTGAGAGCAAATTATTAAGAACAATCCAAAGTTTTACATTGAGCGGGGAGGAAGAAAGTTTGATTGCGGGTGCAAGAGAGAATGATGTTTCCCACATGGGGCTCAGTGCGTTTGACGTTTGAGTGCAGCACGCCGCCCAGCAGGCATGCCATACAATCCCGTACCACCAGACTTTGCAAGTCTGGGTGGGAGACTACCATGAACCCTCCCGCAAGACATGATTTGGGGAAGGAGATCTGAAAAACTGCCCCATCTTGGCCTTGTGGAGCATGTCACGCACTGCTACGTGCAAAAATGTCTACCAAAAAGCAGAACGAAGAAACCACCCCGGGCGCATAAAACCTATAAGCGCCCCAAACCTTCAAACACATCATGACTCCTGAATAATCGGAAGCAGCGCACAACATGTTGGATCTGTTTCGCTCAAAGTGTCGCATAAAGAGCTCTTGGTCGGACAACCTCGAGCTGAACACCAGTGGAGTACCTGCCACGGTTGGGGGCGTTGGGTGGCACCAAGAACCGTAAACATGAAGCTAGACTATCTAAAGACTCCCAAGCTGGCTTGAATAGTCTTCTAAATGGATAAGTTCTTAACGGCACCTACGAATGTCGGTATGCCCATAAACGCGATAAAATAAATGCCAGTTCGGGATGATTGTCAGATGCATGGGCTCTCCATTCTATTCTGGGCATTTGGAATCCCTTTGTGCTTCCAGACTGGAGTCTTCTCGCATCGCTCACGGGCTCAACCGCTCAGAGTGGCAACGTGATCAGACATGTCCGAAAGCAACGTTACGAATTCATTTAGCGCGTCCGGCAGGTCACAAACGCTTGTGAGTGGGAAACTTAATCATCATCCATGTCGTCCTCATCAGCGTCCATGTCGAGCGTGAGGAGCCTCCTGGCTCTCCAGGAATAGACAGAGCACACGCCCCTCTGACTCATGACGCGCATCGCAGAGGCACACCAGTAGCTCTCAGGCAGCGGCGCACTTTGGCGCACGGCATCCTGCTCTGTGAGCTCTGTCAGCATCACTGGCGGGTCAGTTCTGAAAGGAACCGCTTCCAGGTCAAGCAAACAGACCCGCGTCGTCATCTGTTGGGCATCTTGCAGAAGCACTGCTACACGTGTCGCGTCATAGCCGCGACATAGCAGGAAGTGACCTGCCCCAGCTGCATCAGCCTTCAGTCTGGCCATTGCTAATTCTGGCTGGATTGGCGCTCCGCGTGCGCGGACTTCAATGCGGAGTCGAGCAAAGCAAAGCTGGGCCCCGCCCTCTGCGCCATCGCACCAGAAGAGCCGCAGCTGCTCTGGAAGGGTCTCTGCCAGCGCTTGGTCAGAGTCTTCCTTAACTTCTCGATCCTCCCAGGCCATGTGCACCACGGGCCGTGCCATTCCGCGGGGGCTCGCGCCACTCCGAGCCAGCTCTGGCCGAACCTCAGGCCGATGCTCTGGCCGAAGGCTCTGCCAAGGTGGCGCCAGACGCAAGCGCTGCTCTACCAGCACCTGGCTGTGCCGGGCCATCGCAGCGCAAAGCTGCGTTCCTAAGCCTTCTGCCGCAGCCGTCAGGGTCGCCAGCTGCGTGACCAAGGACTCTTCGTCAGTTGCCTGTGCTTTGCCGATGCGACGTGTCACTTCCTCAAGCTCTAAAGAGCGCCGCTCTCGTACGGCTGCCACGAAGTCATCGATGTCAGCGCTGCTAATTGCTTTGCTGTCTGGCCTGTTCGAGGGCGTCCCCTCAGTGCTTTCTGTCAGCTTCTGCGCTTGGAAGAGGAGCAGCTGGAAGAGAGTTCGTACAAAGCACCTTGCCTTTGAGCAGTCCAGCAACAAGTGCTCAGTCATGGAAGCAAAGGACAAGGTTTGCGTGTCCAGCTGGCACAAGAGGCCATTATCCAAGCCGATAGACTTGAACCGCTGTGTGCCGCTGCAAGCCTTCAGGTCCTGGATGATAGCGAGCAGGTGCTGCACAGCCACCTGCAAGCGGGTGCACGTCACCAGGTTGACGTACTCGATGGCCTGCATCAGGCCCTTCTCTATTCTGGAAAGCTGCTGTGGCGTCGTCTGCCTAGTCAAGAAGGCATGCAGGGCATCTGAGGGGTTGCCTGTGCACAGGGTGAAGAGCAACTCGGAATGGACATCTGTGTCAGGTCCTCCAGAGTAGGCCTGGAGGCAGTCAAAGAATGCCTTCAGCTTGTTCGAAAACGTGCTTGCTGCGCTCCTCCACACGTTGGCGAGGGTATCGACTGCTTGCTGAGCATAGCTTGCAACGCCTGCAAGCCGTTCAACCAGGGCAGCACATTGAGAAAGCTCCCGCCGGCGGATAGCCAGCTTCCGGACGTCGAGAATCAGGACTGTCAGGTCACCTTCCGACCCTGAACTAACCGAGGAAGTGGCAGCACTTGAAGGCTCCAAGGAAGGAGTGCATCCCAGCACTGCCAGGCATCGACAGTCGCGAGACAGCTGGAGAGCTATGGGCCGTATTCCAGGCAAATCCTGAGCCTGCACTGGGAAAGTGCCCCCAACTGCCATGACCACGTGGCCCCCCTCATCAGCAGAAGCCAGCAAAGTAAACTTGGTAGGGAAGCTCGGAGCATCCTCGCGGGGCTCAGCAAACATGTTGCTCGGCGCACTTGGCACCGACAGCAGCGGGGGCAGCATCTGCGACCAGGCAGGATCCTGCCAGGCGCAGTCCCCGCTCCTGAACGGTTTGCTTTGGAGGAGGTTAGGGCTAGGGGGGTTTGGGGCCTCGGTGCCTCAGGATAATCGAGCTCCAACAAAGGAAACTTGCATGTCGATAAAAATGCTGCCAAGCTTTCCCCAAAGAGGCACAACAGCTACGAGGCAGACACTTCTGTTGCCCAGGTACATCTTGTTAATCATGTTGCCGTGCTGGTATGGTCAGAGTGGTGATGATATTTACATGTTTGACCTTCCTGATCTTACTGACTTTTATGGTCCAAGCAAAAGCAAGGTTCTCTACCCAGCACACGGCGGCCACCGCCACGCCGTGTGAGCGACGATTGTGTAGGACCGCCCCAGTCTCGCCATCGTAGATGGTGATGCCTACTCTAGGACAGACCAAGGAGGGAGAGAACGGGGCGAAAATTACAACCAGACGAAAAAGAAACAACCCAAAAAAGCACTGTAGTCCATGATGCCGCCCAGCCGGTCCCCAACTGCTAGGCGCCGGCCGCAGGGAGACCAGGCCAAGGCAGTACCCACACCGGTGATCTTCTCGGACAGCAGCTTGGGGCTCTGATCCTCTGACCTACGGTCCCATGAAACGAAGTACCAAGCCTAAAATCAATGTGAAGATCGTGGGCTGAATGCCTTCTAAGACCAGGAGATATTATGAGAACATGACCACATGGAAGCGAAGAGCAGAAAGACTTCCAAAGTACATAGGCTTGAGTGACAGGAGCCGGTAGATGCTCATGGTGGAGTCTGGTGGTGCTGTGAGGCAGGCAAGCAAATCCATGGTAGGATTCCATTCGAAAGCTTCCAGGTCCGAGGCAGAGCGGTCAGAAAAGACCCGGAAGGCCCCTTTGGGACCCTCCACGTCCATGCTTGGCTTGAACTCCAGGTGGATCAACAGAGTTCCATGGCTGATGACAAGGAACGTCTGCTACTCGTGTACTTCTACTCTTCCTGCTGTAGTGCCCCGCTACTCAGGATTGCTGATGCCAGCTAGCGGACTGCAAACTGCGGTCATCCTGATCATCTCAGCATTTATTGACAGGTGTCGTTGGCGTTGGGGCTGAAACCCTCCAGTCATATCTAGTCCACAGCATTTTCTTTGAAGAACTCTAAAAGCTTTGCCATGCTTTGCCATTAGCGGGCCTGGGCAGTAAAATGGCTCGGTACAAGAAACTGCTACGGGCCATGAGCTCAGGGACATGACAACACAGCCTGCCTCGAGGGCACCTGCTTGCATAAAAATCTAAGACGCCAAGAGCCATGACAAGTATGGGGAAAATCTTGAAGCTCAGAAATAGAAACGATTGTGGAAACAACAGCAGCAGAGGGAAAAAAAGAAGATGACAAGAAGGAAGAGGACACAAAGTGCTGGAACAGAACCCGGAATCAAGAAGAAGTGCAGAATGAACCCTGAAAACCCCAATCGTGGATTTCCGCATGAGCACCGGATCTGCTCCCTGAGGGCGAAGTTGTGGGCAGCCCAGACATTGCTGTCGCAGTCCCCTTATCACAGGAAATCTTGTTTGCAGGTCAAATTGGGTTGTTCTGAGCACAATACCTTTGAGGTATCCCGTCTTTTGGGGCATGAGGTGCAGAGCCTCTTTTCTGACACAGAGCCTAGAATGGGCCCAGGGTGCCAGCAGGAGACTGTCCTGAACTGCAACATCAGCCCCTGTGCAGTGCCATAATCCGAAGGGTCTGGGGCACCAGAGTTGGACTCATGGGGGCTTCTCAAACCGCAGTCCATTCTTCTTCCGCATCGTGTCCGAAGAAGTGATCCTGAAGCTATGTTGGCATGAACTATATATAAACCCACACAATCCCTGCATGATATCCTCTATCCTCTGAAACTTATTTCCATGCGAGATCTCCCCAAACCTGACTCGTAAACCTGCATGCTGCCGCCGAGCAGCTCGCCATGGCCTGGAAGTGCATCAACCAGAGCTGGTCCGTTTGCCTGAAGGTCTGCAGCTCAATCATTGATGAATCAGCAGACCATGCCTAAGCCCTTAGCTCCTTTCCGCTAAGGATGAGCTTTGGCTTTAAACCCCGAAGTCCATGGCTTTGAGAAGTTTAGGACCCCGGCGAAGGTAGCAGTGGTTTATGGGTCTGGGGTGGAAGTTAGGGCTTGGCTTGGGCGTTCGGGGTTGGGATTGAGGGTGAAATGTCAAAGGGCTCAGAACTACCGCTTGTGTGCGGTGGAGCACGCTACATCCTTACACAAGTGATGGAAGTCGGAGTGGCTGTCTTCAACCTCATTGTCTATGCCAGCTCATGTCCTCCCCGAATCCCAACTCTAATCTCACCACTACTATCCTCAAACCTGTGTGCTCCATCCCGATACTCTTCCAACATGCAAAATGAAACGATATAGGGAGCACAAAATGGATGTAGAGAGCATTCCTGAACTTGAAGCAACCCGGCCCCTGGCCTGTCCACATTCACATGCAGCTGCATCCCTAGATATGCCAGAAGCGGTTTGTCTACGACAGTCCGCAGCAAGCTGCACCTGAGACATGGGTCGGGGTTGCTATTCAGAACTGATGCTCGCTGTCATTTTTGCAACTACTGCAAGAGCTAACCACTATACCTGATCGCACTACTGATATAATTTTTGCTACTAATGAACACGATGTGACCTAAGCGTTGGCAGCGCACTTCGGAGACCACCCCAAAAGGCAGAATTTCTCCTGGAACTTCTCATTTGTTTCAACCCTCAATCAGGATTCATAACTCGAGCCTGAGTCCCAAATTATCCAGCAGCTAAGCCCAAAATGATCGCTAACACGAACAATGTTGCCCATTATGACGAGCAGGACGATGATGTTAACTGATGTTATTGCCATAAAACCCCTATATAACCCTAAATAAACCCAATAAAATCCCTATTAATGTAGTAGTTTCCATTTTCTCTTCCATTATCCCAATACCACCCCCATATAAGCCTAACATTAAAAATGGTCTGCACCTGCTGATCTCATCAGAGCTGCACCAGCGGAGCCGTGCAGACATACATCTCCGCTGCCCGGAGGTCAGGGTCTAAACGGTGCATCTCGGCCAGAACTGTCAGGTAGTCTGCCACCTTGTAGTATGTTATAGTATATTACAGTACATTATAGCATAGTATAGTATGTTATCGTATGTTATAGTATAGTAAAATATGTTATAGTCCACCTTGAACCCCATGAGACTGGAAGATACTGAAGGGGATGCAGCGCCTCTACTTTAGCGAGCCTTTTCAAGGCCCACGTGGTGGGTAAGGGCAGCATAAGCGCAGGTGACAATATGAAAAGCAACCGACGATGGGAATGTGGACATACCCAGCAGTTCGAGGATGAACAAACCATCATCACAAAACAGAAACAACAACTTTCAGCCCGACGAGAGGCCTGATAGTATCTTTGCCTCTCGTGGATAGCCTCCTCGAACATGTGCACCAGGTCCACCCACAACTGGCTGCTGCCTTTTTGGCTGCAGGCAAGTGGACGTTTCTCAAAAGGTATGTGTGCATTTTCGACGGGGAACACGATTGTGTTCTTGCCAAGGGACATCATTGGAACGCTGCCCACATCTGAGTGTGAGAAGTTGAAACTTGAATCTGAAACCTCCATCGTCCTATACCAAAAAAAACATGCAGAAACGCGCTATTAGACCTAGTTCCCCCGTGCAACCTGATAGAAACCTTCTTCGCAAAGTGCAACTACAGCAATACAAATCACTGCAAGCCCCGAACCTTCCATGAACCCTCAACCTTACTTACATTCCAGACCCTTCACACTTACTCTCTAAGCCTTCTAGTAACCCTCAACCCCGAAAAAAACCTAAACCCCTCAAGGAGCCCTCAACCAAACCCAAACCTCATAGAACCCCCCTACAAAGGCCTTCGGCCCCAGGCTCGCAGCTGCCTAGCGCTTGGCACTGCAGGTTGCAGTGGTGCGACCAAGCCTCGAGGCTCCAATAGGAGACATCAGAGTCCCAGAACGGCTCTACAAGGGTCATGAAAAGGTTTCTGGGGGAATAAGATTATATAGTTGAGGGTTTGGGCTTCGGGATTCTTGGAGCGATCTTGCGTTTGGGGTTTAGGACAGCCTGCACGCTGTCGAGATCAGGGCACTTACGCCCGAGGCCTTGGTGATGGGGCAAAAGTCTTCACATCACTGCGAAAGAACAGAGCGAAAAGCAGAAGAGCACCTGGACTTCCCAAACCCCTTGATTCCGGAATAGATCAACAACTCGAGGCCCCGGAATGTTCCCACGATTTCAGGCATGCAGTCTCACGAAAAGGTCTTGAATGTTCTGGAAAGCAAAACACTCTGCCGATCAAGCTGCGGCGTTGCCCCGGGGGCAGTCGCGCATGAAGATCCTCAAGCAGGAGCTGGGGGGAGCTAACCCTCCCAAACAAGCGCGGAACCCATCTGGGTCCTCTTCAACTGGACAGCATCCTTCTGAAGGTCATTTGGAATTCACATGGAGGGTGTTATACAGTTCAGTCACTAGGCTTGCAGGAAGTTCGCCTTTGAGGATGCAGATGCAGAAAAGTGCAAACAGCAGTAGCCTTTCAAAGTAGCCTTTCAGACCTCTTTGAAAGTCAGGAAATGAACTTTAAGACATGTTCATCCTGACACCTCCTAATCACCTATGCCAAAAACATCCATCCTCAAACTCGATGATCTCAAGCCGCATTGAAAGCACCTTTCTCCCTACAACTCCTATTATTATTATTACTACTAGTAGTACTGTTGCTACTATTGCTTCTATTCCTATACTTTAGGAGGACCCCCCACCCTGTAATAGTGGTATACTAGGTATATAACAGGACCCTAGTAAAATACCTATAATCCATTGTAGTCACTATTACTGGGTGGGGGGTCCACCTGAATAATTGCTATTATTCCCCGGCTGTTCGAGCCCAAGCCGCTGCACGCGGGTCGTCCATGGACGAAGCGCAGCTTTTAGCATGGTCGCAGGCTCCAACACCTTGCATAAGAATGCTCATAGTAATAGCAGTAGTACTAGTAATAATATTAATCATTATTAATCATGATAGTAATGGTGATGGTACTAGTCGTGGTAATAATAGCACCAATAATGCTAGGGATGGTTAGAAATGAGGGAGGCCTGCGGACATTGGATGCGGATTGTATTTCAAATGCTGAACTTGGGCTAGGATCCACTTAATTTCTGCCATTTTCCAGGAGGGTACTGTATCAGTCCTAGCACTGAATAGTGGTCAAGTGTCTGAAAGCATGTCTTTCAAGGATCTGCAAGAGATCCCAAGCAGCAGGCCCATGTCTGGCCTGCTGGTCCAAGAGGCACAAACCAGGACAAGCTAGATTCGCGCGAGCTCCAAACCCAAACCCTGGACCCTGAGCATGGGTTCTTCAACAAGTTCCCTGCACCTTGGGCCGAGTTGCTTAAATGTTCTACGCTTCCCCCACAAATTCTTAAAATCATGTAGGACTTAGAGTTTATGTTTTTGGGGTGCGGCGCTATGGGGTTGTTTGCAGAAACTGGAAGTCTGTCGACAGGTGTAAGCACGATTCCCCAGACAAGCGTGGAAGCCTATGCGAGGCCACTTGACAAGGACAAGGTCTCAGGGAAGGCCTCGCTTGGGAGATCCATGCGGTAATTTCGCTCGTCAAGAACTTTCCAAGGCACGAGAGTGGAGTGCACTCCGAATACAGCGAGGGGGAAGGTGCGCCTCTCTTTGCTCCAGCCTGGCGTCAGGTGTTGAAGGAT